CTTCAGAAACAAACAACCTACAGCCAAAGGACAGGCTGGAAAACCACCCAGGAGCACGAACGCGTCCAACCCGCACCCCCCAAACTCCAAACATCAGCACGGCACAACCTTGCGCTAGCCACGAGTCCGTCCAGCACCCCGAGACAAATCCCGGTGTGCTTCCCCGAGCGCTCCCAAGTTGGCTCCAGCCGCAATGAGCGGAGCAGGGCTGCTGCCGGCTACCCTCGCGCTTTCCCGGCCCTTCCCGGCTCCCAGCGCCGCATTCCCGAGCGCTCCGCTCCCCACGGCCCCGCCACCCGCGGGCTGCCTGAGGGCTGCGGCTGCCGCTGCCCGCCCCGGCCCCTCACACCCTGCATCCCCTCACCTGGGCACGGCCGAGCGCCGCCGCCTTCCCTCCCGCCCGCCGTGAGGGGCAGCCCGGAGCGGGACTGGCGTTCCCCCGTGCCCGCCAGCCGAGCACGGCTTCGCCCCGGTGCCCCTCACCTCGCCTGTGGAGGAGCCGCCAAAATGGCGGGGGGCGGAGGCGGACCCCCGCCCGGGCCGGCAGCGCGATCAGGGAGACAGGGAGGCAGAGCCGTCCCGTGTACCAGGGGAAAAGGCGCCCAGAGCTGGCTTTCCCCTCAGGGATCCCCCGCCCGCGGGACCGGGACGCGCTCGGCGCGGGACTCACCTGAGGCGGCATCGGCCAGCGCGGCTCGGAGCAGCAGCAGCAGCACGGTGGCCCCGGCGGCACTCGGGGCGCCCATGGCCCCTGGCGGCGAGCAGCGAGCGGGGAGTGCCCGCCGGGCCCGCGGCAGGTGCCGGGGCAGCGCCTCAGCCCCCGCCCCGCCGCCAAACTTCGCCCGCAGACAAAGGGGCAGCTCCGCGCCGCAGCCCGCCCGCCCCCCGCCCCGCCCCGGGCAGCGCTGCGCCCTCCTTCCTCCCGGCACCCGAGCCTCTCCTCCTCCTCCCCTTCCTACTCCCCGGCACAAGGTGCCGGGGGGGCAGAGGATTCCGGCTTCTCCTCCCCCTCACACCGGCTACCTGGGGATGGAGCAGTCCCCGGTGATCCCGCAGCCCGTCCCAGCCGCAGCAGTGCCAGGATTAGGCAAAGCAAACGTGTTTGTGTTGGACCTGACCCCAGTGACTCGATCCATCCCGGTGGCTGGAAGGGAGAGGTCACCCTCTCACCCGGGTTGGAAGCTTCTGATTTGCTGTGTTTTGGGTGTCAGTTTGGGTTGTAGGATTATAACAAGAAATAGCAAAGCCTGGTCTATTTCCATGTCCATTTCTTCTTGGCTTGCACACACACACACAGAGTACCATGTCCATTCAGAAAAGCTTCCTCCAGCACTGCACACTCAACACATCTCAGAGCCAACGTTTCCAAATGAACATTTGGCTCCTACAAGTCACAGGATAAAGAAAAAGAGCCCTAATTTCAAGTTACAACCATTCCAAGCCCCAAATTAAAATGAACTCGGAAAGTGAGTTTATTTTTACTAGTCTGTGAATGAAATGTTGGGTTTTTTTTTCCCTGCCAATTTCAGTGCTCCTGCTTCATAGCAGTACCCCAGTTCCCACACAGCAGTTGGTTGCACAGGGCTGGGCTGCTGCTGCTGCCTTCATCTCCTGCTTACCTGATTAAATGCAGCGATGGCAGCTCAATTTGATAACAATTCCCCACGGTCACTCCATCTGCTCACTTTTGATTCACTTCCTAATGATTTTTTGGGGGTTTTTTTCCTCCTCAGGACTATATGCCTTTAATCACTGTGCCGGAATTCCCACAGCAAAAAACACACAAGCCCCAGGTCCCTTCTAATTCCTCAGGTGAAACTCTGGACAACTTGACCAAACTCAAAGAAACACCAGCAAGAAAGAACAGGTGCAAATAATTAAAATCAAGCACATAGCGTGTTCAACAACTTCATATAGAACAGGTGAAAATAATTAAAGCCAAGAATAGAGTTCAATAATTTCATATAAATGTGTCCAGTCCATTTTTAACCATTTTTGTTCTTAATCTTTAGGCTTTGACAACTTGTTTCCCTAGTTCAGCTACTGCTTACTGCTCCCTATTTCTCCTACCTTCCTTCCTGCTTTTCCCAGAACACTTCTCCAAAGACCCTCTTAAAAGTCAGGAGAGCTCCAGACCCATAACTTAGATTTTTCAGATTTTCCCTCTAGCAAACACTCATTTCCAGCATTTCTTAAGTTTAACACTCAATGCAAAAGACTCGAAATTTTCACAAATTCAAAGTTTGCTAAAGTTTTGTCTTTCACATCCTATTGAACACAAAAGCAGCATTTCTGTTTTGAGTCTACTTACACATTAGCAGCAAATAAAATTATCAAATAAGCTTCAGACTCTCTCAGGAGAAATATGAGATAGTTCAAAGGCTGAAAGCTTGAAGGGTACAACTTGCAAAGCACTGATGCAGCTGTCAGCTGCTGCCACAGATCTTTGAAATAGTGGCACAAAAAGTCACTGGGGTTGTAGAAATTAACCACTTTTAGCCTCCCTTTTACCAAATCTCTAGGCAGAGGTCAGTTTTCTGCAAGTTGGTGTGAAAGAGCCATTCCTCCACTTGGCAAATCCCTGGCTGAAGAGATTGGAGCCAGACATACCTTGTGTTCCCACAGAGCTGGCCATGTGCTGGCTCAGACTTGCACAGAACAGCTGGACAAACATGGCTCTGAGAAGGATCCATCTCTGGCAAGTGAAGTTGTCGTCATGTGCATTCCCCACTTCCAGAATCCCTGACACTTAAATGTTTTTCCAGCTTTTAACTGGGTTTTTTACAATTTTATTAATAATCCTTTTTAAAATCCATGAGATTAGCCCACAAAAACAACGTGGCATGGCAGTGTCACCACGTGTGACCTTCACCCAGCATCTCCCAGTACCTGGCAATTTTGGAAGACTGGCATTTTCCTCTTGTTTTTCAAGCAGGAGACATGCTGACACTTCTGCCTTCGTGTCCTGGTGGGATGAAGCCTCTAGACACCTGTAAGCTGAGGTATTGACAGAAATAACTGCTTGGAGAATTATGTTTATCCTTAACAGTGTTTTCTGTCAGCCTCAAAAGCTTTTTTCCCTCCTCTGTCCTATTTCAGTCAATCCAACTATTCCCACATGGATAGAGTTTTGGCTACAGCATTAGCCTCTCTCCCAGAGTCTGGCAAGACCAGTGGTATTGCAGAACATGGATAACAAAATCCTATTTAATCACTCAGAACACCCATCTCAGCACTAAAAACCTGTCAGCCCTGGTGGCAGCTGGAACATCCCTGCCCTGCTCCTCCAGCCGTGGCACAACTCCCATGAACTCAGCTTGACCCACAGGGATTCCAGGTTTTTTGGAGTGCCACAAATTCCCTACAAGTCCAGGTTGAGGCTGAGTGTCAGCCCTGCACTCCTCACAGCTGCACACAGGCTCCCAGGACAACTTCTTCCTTCTTTGGGCAAATGTTTCTGTTTCACTAAGCTTGAATCCCAGCTCTTCTCCTTAGTTTAACTAACAGCAGGTCCAGATAAAACAAACCTAAAAGCCATCATACATCATCTGCCTGCAGATGCTAAAGGTGCTGCAGCACTGCCTCCCTCCATCCCACAGTCACTTCCAGAAGCCAGCAGTGCCACTGCAGTCGTGCTCAGTGTGACAATAAAGGGATTTCTAAGGCACCTTGGCCCAAGAACCACATGTACAAGTCCCACTCTGCCTGGCTGGGGACTCTGCTCATTACAGAGGAACCATCTCATGTTGATCATCCCTTCCATCTCTCCCCTCCCTGTGCCAATCCAGCATTCCAGGATAAAAAGAAGTCCCGAGGCACTCAACAGCTTGTACGGCACTGTTTCAGCACGGCACACACCAGGGGCATTACTCCTTCAGCAATCAGTAGCACAAGTTCAGAACTGCACCTGAAAACTTGCTGAGCCCACCAGCTCCTTCTCTTGCCCACCTGACCTCCAGAGGCCCAGATTGCTTGGGAAATCTGGGATTTTCCAAGTGCAGATCCCTGCAGGAACCTTTGTTATTCCATGCTTTCATTCTCTGAGAGCACACTCAGCAGTCTGAGAGCTTCTGATTTAAGCTCACCTGGGCATTTATGCTTAAGCATCACTTTTTTTTTTAAATCCACCCATCAAAGACGGCAGGCCTTTTATCTTTTCCCAAAATGGACAAGTGAAGTCTTGGAAATAAGCCAGAAGAACAGAGAAAAGAGAAATCTATTCAGATAATACCACAGGCTTTGCTTTTCTACACCAACAGGTAACTCACATTCAAATTTTGGGTCACAAACAACACACAACCACTGGAATGCCTCATAATATCCCTTACATATGTAATTCCTAAGCAATAAAGATATCCCAGTGCAGTGGCATTGCTTTTCCCACTTGCAACATGCAAAGTCTATTAAGTCAGTGTGAAACCTTCCTATACACTCCTCAAAGGGAATTTTTGGATCAAACTCTGAGCAAAGCACCCCACACAACCAAAAATAATGAGCGTGGCCTGGCAGGAATTGGTCACCCTGACTGACAGCAGCCAAATGCTTCTGATGAGAGCTAAAGGAACTCCCGTGCAGCCAGATCCCAGTAAGCTCTTGGAAAAAGGAGGCCTACATCCAGTAATAGGAATGATTTAAACCTTTCCAGATCTGGACTAGCTCATCCCTGTGGTAAACAGCCAATCCTTTCTGGGACCATCTTACATTTCGGGGTGCAGCTTTAAGAACGCGTGTTCAGCAACAGAACCCGCCCAAAAAAAATACTTCAGGAGAAATTCCAGGAAATTCCAACGCCTGCACAGGAGGGAAGGGCGGGAGCGCCACCTCCTGGAAAGAAAGCGGAAAATAGCGGGAAAGAGCCGGGTCCGCAGCTGGTATTCCAGAAAACACGGGAGCAAGGTGCATGCTCACTCCCCTCACAAAACACGTCAGATTCTTCCTTAGGGGAAAACATTTGCTGGGTTCTGACAACAGGCTCCTGCTCATGACAACGTCACACCCAATTTAGACATGAAATCCACAAGCTGCATTTATTTTTTGGTCTCACAGAGCATGATTTGAGTGATATTCACATCTGCTTCTCCAGCTGGAGCACCATGCCCACAAGGAGAAGACATCAGGTACTAATGGATTCCTGGACAGGTTTTTGCTCATCCTTATCAGCTGCATCTTCTTCTTCTTCTTCTTTTTCCTCTGCTTTCTCCACCTGAGGTAGGATTCCATCGAGGTTCAGCAGCAAGCCTTCACTGGTGGAGGATCTGATAACCAGCCTCTGCACAATGGGATCTAGGAACACAAGAGGCACCACCCAACTGGTCACTCCACCCCTTGCCATCAAGGCAGTAAACGAACACCACCAGAATCAGGCTTAACACTCCAAATCAGTAGAAAAGCTGCTCAGAGCAGAAAAGCTAATCCTCACTAAACTGGGCTGATGTACATCGATTTAAATTCATTTAAAAAATAATAAAACCAAAGCATTCCTTTCTGCACCTACTTTATATTTCAAGTCAGGCAACCCCTTATAGTTTTTATTTGGGCTTCTCAAGGCTTTTTATGGTCTGGTCTCTGCAGCTACTGTGAGCAGCATCACTGGGAGAGAAGCAAGATCATTCTTCTGGCAGACATTAAGCAAGTATCAACACAAAAAAATGGGATTTTAGCTTACACAAAAGCTCCTTGCCTAAAATTATTTCATGAATCACCATTTCCTCTCCAGCTAAGCAGATGCCCTCTGCTTAAAGCTGACTTGATTATTCCTTCTTCCACTAAGGAATTAAATTAAAAAAAAAGGAAACAAAGAATCAACTTTTCCCTTGGAGGAGCAGGAATTTTAGAGATACTTGGAGAGCAGCAAGGTAACTGCATGACTACCCAGTAAAGAACACTCATCTCCCACTTGGGTTTGCTGCAGCCTGAACAAACCTTACCAAAATTGGATGGCTTGAAGGTGCAGATATCCTGGATAATTGTTTTCAGGTTGGCAATGATGTGCTCAGTGGGCATATCCAGCTGCAAAAGGACAATGCCAAGTTAGTCATGGTGATGATGCCTGGAGCCCAGGTGAATGGATCTGAAAGCACTGGTGTTGATGTTTATTCTGCATTTGGGTAGGTTTCCTTTGTGTGTGTTCCCTGTGAAGGAGTGACAAATCTCATTAACAGCCTTATCCAAATGCTGATTTGCTCACTCTTCTCCCTAGTTCCACTCAGGACACAAAATTCCCAGGGCTGCGTAACAACCTAGCTTTAAGGGCTGAAAACTCTTAAAAAAACAACATATACACAAGTGCTTCTGCAAAAACCTCATTAAAATGAAGGAGCTGTCAAAGGCCACAAAATGCATCAGCACCTAGAACTGGAGGCATCAGGAGCTTGAACAGAATGAAATCCATCAAAAGAACCAACTCATCAGCTCCATGACAAGGACAGGTCATACTCAGAGGGTTCCAAGCACTCCAAAATAGCTCCCAAATGAAGATGCCAGCTTCCAAAGCAGCTTCCCACAGTAAATCCTTTAGTTCCCTTCTTATTTCTTAACTAAGTCAGACTCCTCCAACAGCAAGGTCCAGAATTCCAGCTACACACAAAAATACAGGCAAGGAAGCCCCTGGAATGCCCATGCACAGCTCAGAGCAGCTAATGAGAATTAATAAACTCATCTGTCTCCAGCACTGCCAGGCAAAGCTTCAGGCATTTCCTACCCTTCTTGCCTGTACCACCCTCACTTAGAGCAACACCAAACATCAGGCAGGATTACAAAGATGAAAACCAGAAGGAAAACAAAAAAAACCACCAGAGCTTAGGGCACAAAAAATGAATAAATAAGCCAAAATTAATGTTCTATTTCAAGTAACACAAACAGTTCTTGCTTCCTACTCTAGTCCAGAACTACACTTATCAAAATTAGAAGTCTTTAATTATTTGGTTAAAGCAAAGACTTTTTGACTCTCCTGCATCTTGACCATGGACTTACAAACCCATAGTTTATTCCTTACAAAAAAAACCCCAAAAAACAACAACCCAAAAAGTTTAAAACCAGCTGAAGACGCCACACAACAAAGAGTTGTATTTTCTCCAGAGGTTAGTGAAAAAATGGTGAAAAACTTTGAGAAAGAAGTTGACGAGATGGTTTTTTCCCCTCTTTGAATACTACAGTTCTGCTCAGGGCAGAAAATGTAAGAGCTCTACACACAACTTACTCTGGCTATCCTTGTCTTGATGACACTCTCGTCCTCCACCGAGTACTCGTGACATTCCCTGAAGAACTGCACCATTTTGGGAATGTCACTGCCCAGGGAATCTGTTAAAAAACAAAATAAAAGAAGCTGTCTGAGCAATGCTTATTGGCACAGATGGGTGTGACACCAGGAAAGAGATCATTCAATCTGTTAATTAAAGCAAACACCAGTCCAAAATGCAGTTTCACAGACAGGACAATGGTGCCCTCACGGAGATCACAGAAACAATCTGTTCCCTCCTTCCCCACTCAGCAGGATTAATAAGCATAAGGGCACCTAGCAGCCAAATGCATCTGGGTTCTTATCCCAGGTTTGCCTGTTGCAGGAAAAAACAGATCCCTAAAGTTCCCTTGACTAAGACAAGTGGTGCAGCCTCAACCTAACTCCCAAAGTAACCTCACATCCTGACAAAAACCATTCCAGGGACACCCCCAGGGCTCCAGCTCCCTCAGGAACTGCTAACAGTTGTAAGCAAGAACTGCTCCTTACTTCTCCTGGTGCTGGGGTACTTCTTTTTCAGCTTGTTCCTCAGGGGGATTAACTTGGGGATGATGGCAGGGACAGCCACGTAGAAATCAGCCTGGATTTCATCCTCCAGGATCTGCAACAAGCACAGTTCCACTCCTTGCATTCAAGCTGGTTTATAAAAGGGTACAAGCACAGAAACACATCTCCCTGCCTGCTGCCTCCCAGTCCAGAGCTCACTGGACATCATGCTTCCTCCCCTCCAGTCTCCAATTGAAATTAGGATTTTTATGTAATTCTTTAAGAAAAATACATACCCATTTGATTAATTCAACTCCTCCCACAATGGCAGCCCCATGCTCTCGAGCTACCTCAGCTTCCTGCTCATTCTGTTGAGAGAAAAAATTAATTAAAAACAGCTGGACTGCCAATTAGGCTGCTGCTGGTCTGCTGCCAGTGGAGCTCAGGAGAGAATTCCAAAGAATTCAGTCCAAAGAGCCACCAAATAAACCCATGGCAGCCCTCTGGGATCATCTCACAGAGATAAAATGATTAACTGCCAAAGGACAGCTGCAAGAGTGTGCTGAACACCAAAACCCATGGAAATGAAGGAAATCTGCCTCACCCGCCTCTGTGAACACCAAAAATCCCATTAAAGCACAGGAACCCTGGCTCACCCACCTCTGTGAGCACCAAAACCCCATGAAAACACAGGAACCCTGGCTTAAACACCTCTGTGAGCACAAAACCCTGTGAAAATTATGGAATTCTGGCTCACCCACTTCTGTGAGCACAGAAACCCATGAAAATGAAGGAACCCTGCCTCACCTACCTCTGGGAACACCAAAACCCCATGAAAACGAAGGAATTCTGGTTCACCCACTTCTGTGAGCATCAAAACCCCATGAAAATTAAAGAATTCTGGCTCACCCACCTCTGTGAACACCAAGACCTTGTTCACCTCATCCGTAAAGCGATGGGGGAGAGCAACACCGCTGGAAAAAGGATCCACTTTTTTCTGGCAAAGGAATAAAAAAAAATTAAAGCAAACAAACAGAAATTATGACTTGAGTGTAAATTACATCACCACAGGGAGTTGGTCCCCTAAAAATGAAAAAAAAGAAAATGCAAACAAAGGTGAAGGATTGCCCTCAGTCTGAGCAGCCCCAAAGCCTTCAGGAGTGCCAGAACTGCCTCCCCACCTTCTTCTGCAGCGCCATGTCCAGGAAGACATTGATGTACACAAACTGCTTGGGGTGGGTGAAGTCCAGCTCCTGGAACCTCTTGAGCATGCCCACGGCCTGCTCCAGCCCATAGGAGGGTCTCGTGTAGAGCCACGTCAGGTACACGTCGTCCACGGGCTTGCTCATCAGCGGCCGCCTCCGAGGGAGGGGCTTCTCCTTGGCTGCCTCCTTCGCCTTCTCCTGCCTGCTCCTCTTGGCATCTTTTTTGGCAGCTCTAAGACCAAAAGAAACCCCAGGCACGTCGTGAGGTCATCAGTTATCTTATTTTCACAGCACTCTGATTTTATAAAGCAAGGTTTTCTCCTTCCTCTTCCATGGCATTTTGCATTCAGTTGAACACCCAATTCTCATTTTCCTCCCTATTTTCAGAGGGTCTCCAAGTAAGGAAAACAATATTAAAATAATAACTGGACCCTCCATCCCTCTGTAAAGAGTCTGCAGCACTTGAGAACGCTTGATTCTCCTGTCTACTCTTGCTTCTCCCAGCCACGCTGTGTTATTATAGAGATGGCAAACTAAACAATGAAAAGCCAATTAAAAGACGGGAAGGGTTTCAAACCAACTCCAGAAGCTCACCAGCTTTCACTTGACATGCAACCCTGTTACACCCCGCAAAAGCACAGCCCAAAACCACAGCCTCAAGCTTTCCCTGTGCCATCAGCACAGAAAACACTCCCTGCGAGTGCAGGCTGTTCTCCAGGAGCCTCTGAGGGTCAGCTGGCTGTCGGACCAGCCCTGCAGACACCAAACGCGCCGGACACCAAACGCGCCAAACACCCCCCAACACCTCCCGGGACGCCGGACCCGCTCTCACTTGGCTGCTGCGGCCGCGTAGGGCCGGGCGGTGGCGGGGCTCACCGCGGCGGGGACGGCGAGGCGCTGCTCCAGCCCAGGGAGGACCCAGCCGCACCGCGGGGCCAGCGCTGCGGGGAGAGAGCAAACATCACCTCAGACATGCGCCGCGGCGGCCCGCACCCCGGACCCGCCCGGACAGGCCCCCCTGCAGCCCCTCAGGGTCGCGGCAGAGCGCGGCAGCGCCCGCAGCTACCTCAGCGCGGCCCCCTCACCTCGCCACAGACAGAAGGCGCTGGGCGCCGCCATTTTGCCGAGCCGCCCTGGTGCGCCACCGGAACTGTTCCCTGCGGAACTCTCTCCCCGGGGCCGAAAAGAAGCGTTCCGGCGGCCCGCAGGCCCGGGTTCTTTAGCGGTGTGCCATCTAGCGCCGTCCCCCCAACCCGCCGCGCCCGGGCCTGCCGTTCCGCGGGTGCGCGGGTTCCGCTGCCCCGAGAAAGGTGCCCATTGCCCAGGGCTGGTCAAAAGCCTCCAGCTCGCTTCTTCAGCGGCCTCAGAGGGGCCTCAGGGCGAACCCGGGGTTATCTCGTAGCGCTGCTGGCCGAACTGGTCCCCCTTCCCTGAAGCAACATGGCGGCAGCTCCTGAGGGCAGTCAGAGCCGCGGCCCTCAGCCATGGGGGCGTTGACACCTGTTCAGCCACGGCTGTGTGCGAGAACATTGCCTGCTGCAAGCCACGTGTAATTCCAAAAAGAGATTTTGTGGCTGCCATCTCACCCCTACTCCCTTGTGGATTGGGTGGGAAAAGAGACACCTAATTCACTGTCCTGGAGCAGCATCCACTTACAAACATCCACTTGCATCTCCTGAGCTGTTCAGATCCACACCACAAACTGTAAGGGTTAAAGGGGGCTTCTATTCCACACTGATGTGCTTTTGATTAAAAACATTCCAACCCCCTAGTCTTCCCCAATCAGTGTGTGTCCAAGTGTTTTTACATCAGGAATATGTGGCTGCCTAAAACTCCCCAATGGATCTGTGCACAAGGATTATTAAACCAGACAAGGGTGGCTGTGTAAAACAAACTGTAACAAAACTGTGTTCATCCAATCCAACACCTGGCTCAGTGTCCTGGGAAAGGATGGATATGGGGAGGAGGGAGGGTGACAGGAGGAAAAGGAACCCTCCTCGGCTAAAATGCCTCAGCTGAGGAGTGACAGCCATTTTTTAAGGCTCCAGGGGTAAAATTAAATTATTTTGGACAGGCACTTGGCATTGTCCCCTGTCCCTCAGTCCCCTGTGAGCCTCTGGCCTTTTACCCAGCAGGTCTCTGCCTGGAGCATGGATGGAGCACGGATTTCTGGAGAAACACGGGCTCGCAGATAATGCTCACCCATCCCCAACACCTCACTCTCCCCAAAGTCTGTTTCCTACCAACAGCCCCTGATCCATCGCTGAGGCCCTTCCCCCTCTCCGGCCATCAATGAACTTCTTGGGTCCACCATCACCTCGGGCAGCTGCAGCAGAAAGCAAATTCCAATTAAAAGCCCCAGAGCCTGATCTCTTGTCCCTCCCTGTGCTCCCCCCAACCGCTTGTTGCTTCCTCAGATACTCCCTGGTGCTTTCTAATTTTTTTTTTTTTTTTACCTGCACTTCCCTGCTCCGGCTGCCCACGAGGATCCGTGCCACCGACACTTGGGCGCCCAATAAAACCCCACTGCTTGGAGGAGGAGAAACAGAGGGGTCAGACACCGAGCAGATGCCCGCACACTCAAATCCCCACCGTTCGCCCCGCATTCCCAGTCGTCCCTTCCTTCTTCCACCGCGGCTGTGAAACCGAGGGGGGAACAGCAGGGAGAAAGGAGGGGGTAAAGGGGGCGGCGGGTTCCTTCGTGCCCCCGCCGGAGCCGCTCCGTGATCGCTGACACGGCCCCGCGAGTGCCCGCGCTCCCCCCGCCGCGGCCCCGGCACCGCCCGCCGCCGCCTCCCCGCGCCCGCCCCCGTCTCCTCCGCCCTGCGCGGCCCGGCCGCCGCTCCTCCTCCTCTCCTTCCTCCTCCTCGCCTCCGCCGCTGCCGCTGCCGCCCGGGCCCCGCGGCTCCGTCCCCGCTGCCCGCGGGCCGCCGCCCGCATGTCGTGTGCGCCCGCCCCGCCGCGCCGCCGCCGGCCCCGCCGCCCCGCCGCGCCGCATGCAGGTGAGAGCGGGCGGGAGCGGCCCCGCCGCCATGTCGGGCCCCGCCGGCAGCGGCGCGGCCGGGCCGCGGGTGCGGGGGGTGCGGGCGCAGCCCCCGCCGCGGGGAGATGGCGATCGGCACCGCCGAGCAGCCCCGGAGGCCGCGGCCGCGCTGCGGCCGGAGCCGGAGCTGCCCGAGGGGATGCCGCGCTCGCCTCGGAGCCGCGGGGGGCGGCCGTGGGGAGAGCCGTACTCGTGGGGCCGATTCCCGGCACGGGGGGACGGATCCCAGCCGTGGGGTGAGCCGTGGCCCTGGGGCAAATCCCGGTCGTGGGGTGAAGCCGGGCCCCGGTGTGAACCCTGGTCATGAGGTGAGCCCCAGCCGTGGGACGAACCCCAGCCGTGGGGCAGATCCCGGCCGTGGGATGAGCCCCGGCCACGGGGTAAACCCCGGCCATGGGGTGAGCCCCAGCTATGGGGTGAATCCCGGCCATGGGGTGAGCCCCAGCTATGGGGTGAATCCCGGCCATGGGGTGAGCCCCAGCTATGGGGTGAATCCCAGCCTGGAGGTGAACCTCAGCCCCGGGACTAATCCCAGCCATGAGTAGACCGGGGCTGGAGGGTGGTGCGTGGCCGTGGGGCGAATCCCGGCCACGGGGCCAAGGCTTGGCCCCAATCCCCACCACGTGCCGTGATGGCATCTCGGCCTGGCACTGTGGGTGACCGCCAGCGTGTTTGGGGTGACGGTGTCTTTGGGGTGAGGGTACTTTAGGGCTTAGGGTGTTTTGGGGAGATGCTGGTCTCGCCACCTTTTCCCCGTGGTCCGCAGCAGTTCCGTGGGAGGAGGAGGGTGACAGGAGTGTCACCTGCAGTAAAACCTGGGCTGCCAGCCCAGGCGTGGTGCTCGCAAATGAAAGCACGCACTTGAACGTTCGGTTCCAGTCTGGGGCTCGCTTGTTAAACTGAAGTGCTCCTGCTCAATGTGGTGGTGGAGGGCTCTGTTGCTCCCAGCCACGCCACATTTTATCTGACCTTCTGGAAATCTTTAGACCAGTGGCTTTTATCAGGCCCTTTTGGAAACTTTGAATAGGCTGAGTATTTGTTTTGGGGAGGTACAACTTCTCCTGAGTTGCCATGCTGATAAAGATTTTACACGGCCTTGGTTAGGCAGGGAATTTTTTACAATTAAAATGTGACGCTCCCCCACAAAACTCAGAGCTAACCCAGAGGGGCAAACACCCACCCAGGAGTTGTTCATGGTGTGTAGACATGGCTGATAATGAAAATTATGGCAACATGCTTATTTTTAAAATGAAAAAAAAAATTGCACGTTATTCCTCACAACCAGGGAATTCCTAGAATCATTGTATCATCCTGTATCCCGGTTTGGAGGGCCAGAGAGCTCTGGTGAAGGCGGAGCACAGCCTGCCAGGGATTTCATTTCTGTGAAAAACGGGGAAATGGTCCTGCCACACTCCCTGTCCCGGAGGGCAGCATCCATGGACATGGCTGTGGTGCCTCCCAGCAGATCCAGGCTGGCAGGACACTCAATTTTGCTTTGTGCCACAGCCTGACCCGGTGTCCTGAATGGAGCCCTGCTCCCTGCCCACCGAAGGAGGTGTTTCCAGCCTGACTGCAGAATTTGGCTCTGGAGCAGATGGATAGCGTGCACTGCTGGCACCTCACTGCTCCGTGCTCTGGAACAGTGATCCAACCTGCAGGATCGTGTCGGTTCACCCAAACACAACTTGTGTTTGAGCTCCAGCCCAGACACCAAATCTCCTCCTGAGGTGACTGGAGGTGACTCCAAAAGCCCCATTGCAGTGTGCCTGTAGGATTTCACAGAGCAGTGGAAATTCTGCAGTGCTCTGCTGTCTGCTAAACAAACCCTGCTAAACACTTTCAGTTTTCTTCCCTTCTTACTATTAAAAGCGGGGGCTGCTCTGAGTGCTGAAGTACACCACGATTTAATTTATTCCGTTTTATCTCTTCCTACAGGGGCTCTTTCTCCTTTCATTTGTGCATTTAACTGAAGGACAAAACTCAGTGTAAGCAGCCCATAGGTGTTCCTGTGCAAAGTTTAGTTTTGTGGCACCCTTGGAGGGCCAGTCCCTAATGTGTCAGGTCTGAGACTCCCCACCAGCAGCCTTCTGGACAAACTCACCCTGGCTGCAGCATGGAGAAGGCAGAACTTTGCAGTGGCTGTGGAGTTTCCCACCCAGCAGGACGAGCTCCTGCTGGCACAGCTCTGTGTGTGCCGTGCCGGAGTGTGACCCGTGACTGCCAGAGCTGTTCCAGCAGCAGCCCAGCTGCAGGAGGAGCATAGTTATCTGCACAAGTGCACTCTCACTGATAGAGCTTGTTTGCCTTGCCTCGAGGGTGCTTCTCCCCAGCCCTGGGAGCACTGCTCCTTCCAGGGATGGAGCTGCTCCGCCATGGATCTGCCTGCCTGGGAAGGAAAGGAAACAGAAATGGAAGGCTGCTCCAGGTGTATTTACCATCCTCTTCCCATCCAGAATCTGTAGGAGCCCCATCACATTTGCAGTGGGAACTCTCTTATTGGCTGTTCTCTTTCCACGGGATAAAACTTCCATTCCATGGGAGAAACTAGGAGCATTTTGTTTTTTCCCATTAACAGCCGTGGTTTTGACCAAGTTTAGCTTTCACACCAGTCCGGGGAGAAAAAAAGCCAGAAAGCAATCCCAAGGTATGTGTGTGGACTCTATTAGGAGAATGAAAAAGCACCAGTGGAGAAAAAGTAATTAATTTCCACACTGGGTAAGCTTCTACTTAATTTAAATCTAAACCACCAAGAATTAAAACTTAGAGTTAGGTAGATCACAGCAGCCACTGGCTTTTTTGTTTGAGCCAATGTGCACATATGGAGGGATGTGTTTCTTCTTATTAAAACCCTCCCCAAGGTTTTAGGTGATAAAATTATCCATCAGTAACTTGCATAATTTCCAGGCAAACTTTCTTGAATCACCCCCAAAAATTCTGCTTTTATCAGCTCTAATCTGCTGGACACTTTTGGGTTACTTGGGCTTAAAAGGGGAGATAAATCCAAATAAGTGCTTACTTTTTACTTGCTTACTGTTTAGTGGAAAGAGGTTTGGGGAGTGCCAAAAGGGTACTCGAGGCATGGGACTGTAACCTGATTTGCAGACTACTGAGAAAGCAAAAGTAACAGTGGAGCTTAGTTCTTTGGGAGCATAAGATGGCATTTGTGAAAACTTTAAAAAAATAAGTTAAAATATGTCTTAGGCATATTTAGATTCAGGAGGATTTGCTGTGGATTTAGTGCTTTAGAGCATTAAATGCTAAGCCTCTTGTAATATTTTTTTTTGTCCAGATTCTGTGGTTCTCTTGATGGCAGGCTGTAATCAAGGCTTGGGTGCTTGTTACAGTGACAGTGTGGTGTAATCTCACCTTCTGATTAATTCTTTGGGTTTCCAGTGATTTGTCTGTGCAGTTTCTCCATCTCACCTGTAATGATTTAAAAACAAAAAACAACAAAAAAAGGAGGTTTATTTATCAAGATCCCTAGGTGGTGACAATATTTCTGGAATTCTGCTGCTCTCCTTTCCTGTCTTTTGTGCACCTCGGGGCTGTCATCAAACTTCCCACTACGAGACCACCCCAAAAAGTTCAAATTAAAGTAAACTGAAGTGTCTGGCAGGAAAGGGAAAAGAACTTGACATGCGCAGGATTTTCTGGTCCCATTTGTGCCTTCAGATCTCGGGGCTGGATGCAGAGAGCACCGTGGAAGGCCTTTAGCTGAACTTGCTGACTGGCTCTGCTGGCAGCTCAGTAAATTCACAAAAGGGCTACAGTGACACCCACCTCCAATGGCAAGGTGCTGAGCCTGACTGGGGGGCTGCTGTTTGGGAGAAAATTCCTCTCTCCAAGTTGAAAAGGAGAAAAAAAAAATCCACACTCCGCCCAAAACAAAAACCAAACTGAAGTTACTCTGAGTAAAAGGGAGCACTGGAAGAAAATCTTCCTGCAATCCTGTTTAGGAGAACAATTTTTGCAGTCTCTTGGACATCTCCTTACAGAGATGTAGTTTTAGGAGTATTCAGCCACCACCAGGAAGCAACTGGGCAGGTGGTCATGGCAAACAGAGTTGAAGACAGGCAGAAATGCTCTGTGTGCTTCTTATGAGGAACACATTTTATCCCTTGGAGGGGGAGATGTTCAACCAGCACTTAGAAAAATGCTCCAGGACCAACAAAAAGCAGCTCCAAGCAATTGTAGCTCCAAGTCAGGTGCAGTGAGCCAGCACAGGGGTTTTGGGAGCTGCACCCACACCAAGGGAGAGAAGAGAAGCCCAGTGAGCTGTTGGGAGTAATTTAACTACAGTTTGTAGGTGGTGTGTGCTCACCCCTGCTCTGGCATTTCCTGAGGGCAGTCATTAGTGCTGTTTAGGACTGCACAGCACCATTTATGCTCAGCATTCACCTGGGTGGGGTGTGCTGTCTTCCCTATTCTGCTTGCCTGGCTGGGGAGGAGCTTGGTAGTTTTTCTGAGAAAGATAGAAAAAATGTGAATAAAAGGGCTGTGAGATTGCAGATTTGCAGGATATGAAGGCTGGGGTGTAAGTGCATGTTCTAAATTAAAATTTTCCCTTTAGCAGGAGTTTGGTTTTGGGTTCCCCCACTTGCAGCTGGAGGGTTGGGAAATTTCAGACATGAAGAGACAAATCCTTCAGAACACCCTGCCACCATCCCTGTTGATTTGAATTTGGATTATTCCTTACACCCTAAACAAAGCATAAAGAGAAACCTCTTGTGCCCCCAGCCAGAAGCAGCAGGAATTTTTATGGAGGCAGCTCTTGTCCCGTGGGCCTTTCCCCTTCCCAGGTTCTGCACCCACCTGTACTCTGCAGAGGCTGTGTTGGGAACAGGAATGCAAAGCAAAGCTCCTTGATCCTGGCCCTTCCACAATCAGCTCTCCAGGTCAACAGCTCTCCACACTGCTGCTTCCAATGGCCTGGAAGTGAAGGCCCAATTAAACATTTTA